CCTTATTTTCCTCTTCCTTTAGATAGTGTTATCCTACCATTAGTTAGTAGGAAGCCATATCATTGGATGTTTGAGGGATATGCGCGGGTCATCATACAGTCATAAAAGCAACTCGTAGGGCGCTTTAGCAATTTGTCGTAAGGGACTAAGATCGTATACCGAAGGCAGCATCGAAGGGTCATCGAGGGACTGCGATCTTTTTAATCGAGGGTTTTTGCTAAAGTGTCCCACGTTTGAGGGACGTGTCTGTTTTATCTGAAGGCAACAAGTGGAGTCACCCTAGAGGTGCGTGTGTGAAAAGTGATTTGTTTTCAGTTATTTTATCTTCTATTTAAGATTGTCTAGCGGTTGATTTTAAATCTTGCCATACATGCCTAGTTACTATACAGTTATATATACAAACATATATACATACATAGGTGCGGAAAGTAAAGTGCGGAGAAATAAACCTAGGCTATTACATCCCATGAGCAATTACATAATAAGCAAAAATGCGGGAAAATAAACTAAGTTATTACAAAATCAACTGTGCAACCTATACATTTGTTTTCTAGAATTTAAATAGCAAAGAGAAAAGAAATTAGAAGAAGGTATTTAAAACCTAAAGAAAATTTCTAAGTGTTAGAAAAATATTTTTTTATATTTTTATTTATGAAAAATAATTAAAGTGATAATAATAATTAACTCTAATTCTAAGTAATTTACAAATTAACTCTGAAATAAAAACAAATTTAATTTAATTAAAACAATTTTTTGTTGGTCAAAAATTAAATTAATTAAAAAAACTTAAATCTAATTTTTAATGATTTTTTCCTGATTTTTTATGGTCTTTTGATTTTAATTAGAAAAAAGTAATTAAATTAATTAAGCAAAATCAAAAATAATAAAAACAAGAAAATTGAAAAGTTGGAAACGAATCCGGTGGTGGGGTTCTTTTCTCTTGAATGTTCCTGTAAAGAGAGATCTGAAACAAAAGTGTTTTCATGCCTTAGAAATGGCATATAGAGATTCATGCATCAAAGCTTGCATGTGACACGCCAAACTCGTCCTAAATCATATCCTGAATACATTTGAGTTCATCAAACACATTAGTAATGTATGGAATTTAAGATTCAATTCAAGGAAAAAATGCAAACCAGTGGAGTTTGAAGCACGAGTTCCAGACACCAAATTTTCTGGTTCTTGGGTTGGATGTGTTCCTGAGGACTTCGGGAAGAGGTTTGAACACTTTGTTTGGTTTGAGAGTGGCTAGATCGTGTGATACGAATTTGCACTTTTCTTGAGAACTTTGAGAGATTTTTGAAGTAGTTCTTGAGGCAGATTTTTGTGTCCTTTGCACTTGATTATTGCATGTATTTATAGAGGAAGGAAATGGAACAAGAACAAGACAAAAATCTTGTACCATCATGTCACAATTCATTGCAAAAAAACATATTGAAATCTTTCCAAAATTGTTAAAAAATATTTCAAACTTGAAGATTCTTGTTCCCAACATGTTTTCACGGTTTTGACATGTTTGTCACGTGTTCTTGGGCCTCCATATGATTGAAATCAAAAGCTCATGCGCCTTGGTCCAATGATTTTATATTTTATTTGATTTACATGCATTTAAATGAATAAAAATTCAAATAAAAGAAATAAAAATTATAAAAAATCTATGAATAGATTTATATGTCTCATAACACATTGTGAACATGTTTGGACATCAAAAGTTAGGTCCATTAGTCTAGAATTTCAAGTTTGCTCACTTTGCATTTCATGCATTTTATCAAACTTTTGCAATTTAACTCTCTCAATTTTCATCTTTTAAAGGTGAACTTGGATTTTTTGGAAATCTCAAGATGTCCTCTACAATTTCTCTTTTGATCATTTTTGCATTTGGAGACTTTATCTTGATGTAAGTTGCCTTGACAAAAAGTGTCTTTTTGTTGACTTTTAAAATGACCTATAATGTATGGGCTCATATCTTTCAAATGAAGCATTTTTTGGACTTGAGAAGAAATATAAAGTTATATAGAATTTAATTTCCCTCAAAACGGGCTTTGGTTGGGGAAAAGTTGAGGAAACATGTGAAAGTTATGCTTGGTCAAAGTTCAGCTGACTTCTCCTAAGGAAATCCTATTTTGGCAACTTTGAACTTTTGATGATTTGAGGGCTTCTCTTGAGGAATCATGATCAACCCTTGATGAAATGAAGAATATCACTTCAAATGTTGACGTTGACCAAAAATCTTGAAGTTTGACTGTATGTTGACTATAATTGACTTTTTACCCAATACAGTTGATTTTCAATCATCTGAGCTATTGACTGAGCAAACTCATTATGTAAGACTTGAAACTTGACATGAGCAGTGTGGAAGACCTATGATGAACCATGAAAACCATTTGAGTCCTTTACAACTCAAAATTCCTTGAGGAATTCAAAACCCTAGTTGTAGACCCCTTGCTTAGGAAGAGGTTTGACTGGTCAACCCTTGAGTAACCTTGGGTACTTGAGAGCCTTAGAAGAATGTTTTTTTGAAGAAAATGGGAGGGAAAATTTTGGAATACAATAATATGTCTATAGCAACTCAAATTCCTAGCAGAGAGCAAAAATCAAAGATAACAATTGACAAAGAGTTGTAAAGCAAGTTTTATATAACGTCAAGGGCGACAGATATACATGAGTTCAAAGAAAATACATATACAAATCCAACCAATAGAGAATACACAAAGAAAAAGAGAAATGAACCACAAATCTACCTGTTTGTCAGTGTCAATTAAAGAACAATCTACCCCAGATCATCCGTATGCAAGCTCCATAGTTGTTATCTAAGCTAATTCTAACAAAATTGGAGGTTGATGGAGTTAGGAGCAAAAACTTCCCCCAAAACCATCCTAAAAATGCACTAAATATGAAGTTATAAAATAAATCTCAGGAGACCGTGCTAAGCGGACCTGGCGCACTAAGCGCGACTTCTTTATTTTACACATCAAACTGCACTAAGCGTGTTATCCGCGCTAAGCGGGCTTCATAACAATGCTTCTGCCAAAATGTCAAAAATGCAAGCATCGCGCTACAAAATGCACTGAGCGCACTCATGCTTAGCGTCCTTCTGCGTGCTAACCAGGCTCTCTTGAACAGAACTTCCCAAAACTGATCTTTTATTCGGAAAACGCGCATTCGAAGTCGTGCCTTCGACACCTTATTCCTCAATGCTCCAAAATGCAACAAATACCTACAAAATGAATGGAAAAGCATCAAATGGTACACTATATACACAAAAACACAAATAAATACAAACTAAACGTATTTACACAAAATTCAGATTTATTCAACTGATATTAACAACAAAGAGTCGATAAGTGCAACAAAAAGTATATACAAAAATAACTATAATTTGCACTTATCAGATACCCAACTTCTGGAATAGAACATCCATCAAACTTGTTACACATTCTCTTATCGCTATGAATGGCAGAGACGACCCCATCCCAAAGGTAGCTTCCTCAACAACAACCTCCTAGATATAAGAAACTAATCCTAGGTAATGCACGGGCCACCCAAGAATAATCACCCACTCTGTTATCAAAAGACTGAATGCAGCAACCAATCTCACGCTCTGTTATCTTAGACAAAACAAGACCCAAGTTAAATTTTGCGCAAGCAATAGAAGTGGCACGAACGACGTTTCACTTATTAACGAATCGCTTACATCAACAACAAAAAAATCCAATCCAACTCAGAGTTACCACTGGGCATATTCAGGGCAGGGATATGAAAGTTTAACGCGTCAATTCGGGATTCTCCACTCCCACGGACAATGAAGACACATCAATAGTGACCTCAAAAGCATTATATATGGGTACACCTTTTAGATTAACCATAACGACATACACAGAAAAGATGATAATGTACTTTCAGATAAGATGAAAAGAGAAGAATGACCCGCGAAGGAGGAAGTAGTAAAAAGGTTAAAAACACCAAAACAATCGAGCAGAAAATGAACCCGAGAGAATAGGGGTAAACTTTAAATTAAAAAAATGAAGCAAAACAAACGTTGATCAGAAACCAAACTCATAAAAGGAAATCAATCGCAAATTAATTATCCAAATTGAATGTTAAAGGAAGATCTAAAGGTAGCAAAGTGATCGTTTCTTCAGGAACATTAATAACTCAAATGTACTCGAACATCCTAGATAGTAGAACCACGTCCGAGCCTGAATACCTAGGGCAACACACTTAGAGGGAATGGTGAAACGCCTCAATGATAGAATAATATTTAATGTACTTGTTCTCCACTAATTTTGTAAGTGATCCAAAATATTTCTGTTTTTCTCCAAGGTCTGATGTCGTTGCTAGGCCAGCCACAACTTCGAAGACTTTCCCGACTGGTTTTCGTCCAACAAGTCTTTGGGGAAATTGTTATGTACTGTCAAAAGGCCAAAAACAAATGTCCAACCAAATGTAAGTTCAATCAAAACAATCCAACATACAAAGTCAACACACATGAGATTCAATATACATTTTTCTATTCTCCATCTTTCATCATACTTATCTTAGACCATGTAATCGAGTTAGACGTTTGAGTGATAACTTTATATGTTAATCCCGTATCACCGTATCAGAGATCAACATCATCCACTCAGGATCTTCCGTCATTGTTCAACACCAATTCTATAAACTCAGACAGTTTGTTTGAATAAAATTTAAAAGTTTGATATAAAATTCAAGAGGATTTGGTCAGCTTTTTTTTTAAACCTGGCAGGGGTGTCTCTTGGAATTTACTCGGTGAAACTTGAAGTTTCCAAATCAATTTGACAGAGATTTACTGCTTGTTTGACTAGATGTTTAGAAAGTGTAGATTTTTGGATGAGCTTAAGTTCTCATCCCCAACATCATTTTGAAAGTAGTATACATCTAAAGTATGAGGAAATTCCTTAGATATATTTTCAAGGCAAAGCAAAAAAACGTTCACAATGCTGGAAAAGATGCAGACACATAGAATATTTACGAGACATTTAATCAATACCAGCCCATTTCCTAAATTCCTGAACATGCTCAAGCCTTTTGCTCTGAGCTTCTGTTCTTGAATCCGATGCTTTTAAAGTCCTATAAAGACTCCTATGAAGTCTAAGGAACTCGTTTTTGTACATCAACTTGTCGGTATACATGTTATGATCATTCATATGGCCAATGACCTCCATCAGTCTCTCAAAGTAACCACCTTGAATGAAGTTTAGCAGCAGTAACTCATATAGATCTCTATCTACAACTAAATAGCTGTTCTTCATGAATCTCTTGATATCCCCCCACAAGAAAGTAATCTCGCGATACATACCGAGAGAAGAATATCCTCGCACGAGATAAGCAAAAGTTTGGCTTGTCGGTTGAATTTTCATTTCACACATTCTTCTATATGCCCTCATAGCATCATCTATCATTCTTGCCTTGCAGAAAAAGAAGATCGAAGAGTTGAAGTTATAAACCAAAGGAATAACCGTCTGATTCTCATCTTTCAATAGTTGAGTCAAGGCGACAGCCAAATCTGATTTACCAACGGAATTTGATGTTTCTTCACAAAGGATGTGTTTGTGGATAGCATCATCAGATAATTCGTAGTGCAAATTAATCTTTTTCATTTGTTTTAGCAGTGCTTTAGCTTCTCTTTGCATCCCCTTCTTCTGATATGCTGACAAGACTAACATATATGTATCGCGGCCCATCGGAGACCCTGCAGCCTCTACGTCGTCCAAAATGTCATGAGCAGATTCAAGCCATCCCATCTGAATGCAAGCAGCGATCACATCAGAAGACAAACTGGACCCTGCCACTGAATATTGTTCCCCTTGAATGCTAAGCAAAAGTTTCGAAAGTTCACTAATTCTACCATCTTTCTTGTAACCAATAATAAACTTAGCCAAAGCTCTATTACTAAGAACAAGTTTCCCACCCTTGTAAAAAACAAGACCTTCTCTACCTTCCAATTTAAGCACAGAGTCCTTCTGCAATAGCTCAGGCTCTATATGTATCTTTAACGCATTCTTAAGGTTAGGCGATCCAGTCGCGATAAAGCAAGGCTTTTGTAAGTGATTCCTACATTCTTCATTATTGTGACAATTATGTGAGCTATTCATATCCAAAACAAGCTTACCCGCAGAATCACTATCGTTAAATTTGAAGTGCAAGCTCAACAAACTATCATAGAATTGACGATAGTGCCGGACATAAGCAGCCGAAACTCCATCAATACGACATTTCAATTCCATCATTTCATCTCTCAAACCATTCATCTCTAATATCTGCGAAATTATCACAATTGAGTGAGCATCAGCCACAATCCCAATCAGAGGCATTAATTCAATCAAACACAAGCCTTTCAAAGCTAACTTAAACCTCACACAAGCATCAAGAGCAAGGTTAAACACCAAAGTATCCGGCTTGAACAGCGCTTTTTTATCCTTCAAAGAACTATAAAAATCACAAACTTGAGACAGATAATTTGATACAATCTGTGTTCCAATTTCTGTCTTCACAATATGAAAAACAATCAAGGACAAAAACTGCATACATGGAACAAACCCTTTATCAAGCATTAACCTAAGTATAACAGACGCAGGCGATGACATTTGCATTCTAGCCAAAGACAAAGCAAGTTTGGTAAACGTATCAACATGAATCAAACCTGAATTCTCTTGAACAACTTTCAAAGCCAAATCAAATGATTTTCTCACCAAAACATGATTTGAAGAATAACACAACTGAACAATAACCTGATTCGATAATTGAACCTCAGGGTAGCCATAAAGTCTTCTAAAATCATGAAATGTTTCCAATGCTTCTTGTGATTGGTGATTCCTCAAAGCAAATTTAAGCTTTTGCAATAGAATTTCTTGGGTGGAACGTTCCCAAGATAATCTCTCACAGTGGCCGGAGCTAGAAGTTGAAAACTTTTGCGGGAAAGGGTTGAATTGGTGGGAATAGAGGTGCCCATTAAGAATGGTTAGCAAAGGTGGAAGCTTTGTGAGAAAGGGGTTTTGTGATAGAATGTGTTTGGAAAAAGGAAGCACCATGCGATCATGCCTGTGATGCTTGATGTTTGATTGTTTATGCAAACAAATGCAACAGAGAGAGATTGGGAGTTTTCTGAGAGGAATTTGGTGAATTGCTTAAGCATAAAAATGGGAGATTTTGAAATGCTAGAGTATAAACCCTAATGTAATTGACTCACTTCAAAATTCATATTACAAACTAAATAACACAATGTTTTTAATTATTATTGTGATGCAATTATATACTATACTAGTAACAAACCAGTGCTTTTGCACGGTGAATTGGTACGAGTAATTGTTTACAACTATTATTTAGATTATGAATATTTAAATCATAACTAAATAGATTTTGTATATAAAAATAATAAGATAAATATAAAATTTTATATTAAATACGAAAATTATGTTTGTTTATGTTATTATATAAATATATCTAAATCAATAGTAAATTTTAGTTTATAAATAAATATATATTAATAATATAATTTTTAACTCGAAGAAAAACGTTTATGATATAGAACACATTATATTAAAAGAAAAGTGTTTTAATTGTTTAATTAGAAAAATAAATTTAAAAAAAATGTATAAGTATAAAATGTAATATTTAAATTAGTTTGATGTTAATATTTAGTAATTGTTAATGACGGTCAAAAATAAATTTAGTTAGGGAAAAATAATATTAAAAAAATAAGAAATTGAAAGATAGAAATATTTAAAGTTTTAAGAAATATAATAATTAATATTAAAAAAGAATGGTGTAAATAATCTTTTTTAGCAATAATAGTTATGATTTAAAAAAAAATTAAAAACATTTCAAAATGGTAATAAAAAATGAAAAATAAAATAGATTATGTAATGAAATATAACTACATACTATAGACAGAATATATCATAAAATAATTATAGGTCGAAAATTGATATGAATATAATGTTGGATAATTTAATGTCAAAATTATTTGGGCCAGGAAAATGCATGGATAGGCCGACCTAAGATGAAGGGTGGATTATAAGAAGAAATGCAAATGTTTGAGGATGTCTTTGTGCTATCGAAGAAGAGCCACCGCAAGAGTCATCATCCATCTAAAAATGACGATCGAAGGTGCGGTAAGGGGACGTCAAAGGTAACATTATTGATTTTGGATACTTTGCATGTTTAAATCCTGAAAATCTTATTATAGATTTCGTCATCCACGTTATTTTTCTGGTGTTATTTTTCAGAGGGTTCAAACAGCTTCATCCAGATATGGAATGGAAAAGACTGTCCAGAGTCAGTTTGTTATTCGCGGCATTGGAGAAGACCCGATTTGAAAAAGATTGGAAAAATGGGAAATTTCCACTCCCTGGTGCTTAAAGTCGAAGAGTCGAGGAACTGGTGGTAGAGAAAATGCAAAGAGAGGGAATCGTTGTGAAGATGCAAAAGGTCATACTCAGGATGAGAGTCTGGGTCAAGCTTTGAAAGAAGGCCAGAGGTTAGAAATGTTTAGTAAAGATTTATGAAAATCGATAAATTAGGATTAACATATTTCCTTGTATGTTGGTGATTGAAAGTATGGAATTAAATCTAAAACTTCTTAATAGCAAGGGAAAAAAGGTTGCAGCTATTACAAAAAATTGTTGTCGTGACCTTGTGGTAATCAAACACAAGAATGGTTATAGGTATTTCCTTTGGACAAAGGAAATAAATTCTGGGAAGACGGGTGTCAGAAATGTTTTAGTAAGTATCATCACATTCGTATTGATTGTATAAGTCCTATACATTTATGTTATTCCATTGTATTTGTGTAATGTAAGATGTTTTTGATGTGCAGCAAATTCCCCAAGAAGTTATAAAGAGTTGCCTGCTAGTGGGTCATAAATGTGTCAAGCTTTAAGATTCCGATAAGAAGAAGATATATAAGGGTCAACTGCATTATGCTAAAAGGAATTATTATGTGGAGAGGTGATAAGTGCTAAATTATTATGAATTTGAGTGTGAATAATTAGCACTCATCATCTTATTTCGTTTGCTTTTCGTCAATAAATCTCAATGTTTGCGTACATTTTGTATAGTTTACGTTATAGTGTATATATTGTATTATTGTGTAAATATCATTGATTTTATATCATTTTAATTGATTATATTATTGTATTTAATTAATTTTGTATATTGCATTGTTGTGAAGCTGAAATTGTGTTGGTTTTTCAACTTATTATCGACTATCGCCCCGAGTTCGCCCGACGATGTTGGGGTGATCAGAAGCGTGGAAAAATGCAGTTTTAAGCGCCAGGCGATGCTTTTTGTCGTCGGGCGATGTGAGCCTGACAGAAATGCATATTTAGGTGAAAAACACATTTTTAGGTCATGGTTGGGTATTTTTGGTCCCAATTCATCAAACCTCCATTTTTTGGCCTAGAGAAGCTAGAAAACAACATTGAAGTTTGCATCTTGATGACCCAGAGTCGGATTTCTCATGAATCGGCGCTCATAACCCATGAGATGTTTGATTTTTCTCTATTTCTTCTCTATGTATTTCTCTATTTGTTGGGTTATGTTTGTATGTTTACTTTGAACATATGTATATTTGTTGATCACGGTGATGTATAAAGCTTGTTTTACAAATCAATCTTGATGTCTTCTTTGCTTTTTTTACTTTATGTTTGGATTTGGATTGTTATAGACATATACCTCACAAATCTTGATTATGTATGGATATCTATTAGTTTCTAGATTCTATAGATAGATTTAGAGTTAATATTCACTTTGGATGCTAAAGCTTAATGCCTTTGTGTTGTTGTAGCATGTAAGACATTTCCGATAGAGTAATATGGTTGTTCTCGCGACTTGGAGTTAAACATAAACTTTATTGTGGGTATATCTCGTGGTGTCCGTGATGATTTTGACGAGTAGAATAGGTTGAATGCAACTGATCAATAAGTTTAAGTTTGTGATGAGTAGTGTAAATTTATGCATGATAGGTTTCTCCTTTTCATTGAATGTATTTATTTTCTATTGATAACTTTTGCCCTTACCTTACACTTTAAACCCATTCAACCCCAAACTCATAAACGCGAGAAATTGTCGAACGAAAATTCAGTAGCACTTATCCATGTGGAGGCGATACGATATAACCTATATCACCCGGTAAAATAATACTTCACTTTTTGCTTGCTGCTTTACCGTTTCAACAAAATGGCGTTGTTGTCGGGGATTGGTGTTTTTATTGTTTCGCGTTGTGATAGTCTCTTTGTTTGTGAGTTTTGCACATAATGTCTATATTGTCTATAATGTGTAAATAGAAACTTGTTTATATTGATACTTGTGTATGTTTACCATACTTGTGAATTTTACATGTTTTCAATACTTGTGAATTTATTGTATATGTTTGTTTCTCCTCACATTTGCTAAGTGTTTGGTTAGGTTTCACCGTCGGTGAGCACTAACCATGTAAAGAGGAAAATTGGAGAAATGTGTATAAATAACAGGCGTCGAGCTTACGACATAAAACAAGCATGTTTTATTATTTTTCATTTTTTTAGTTTAGATAGTGTGTCGATTGTTGTTTAAACAAGTTGAAATTGGATTTGTTCTAAAATCTCAAATCTTCACTTTTCAACTTGTTTAAACTTCCGAGAGCTTTCTTTTATTAGCTTGAGGAAATTTGTACGTGTCTAATTCTATTTTTCTAATTCTTTTGTTGTTGTTTGGACTCAATTTTAGTCTGGTAACTTGAAGAACTTTGAGGTGATTTTCTGATTTTGATTGATTCAATTTACGGATGTATGGTAATTATAGTTTTGAAGTTGGTACATGCCAGGTACTCGTTTATCGCTTTCTATAGTATAACATGTTTAGGAAACTTTTAATTTGTATAATTACTATACCATTCAATATTTTTGCATTACTGGCTCATGACTTGAATCACTTTAGTTCCCTTTTTATCCCCAAATGTGAGGAAGTTTTCCATTGTTCATATATGTTGGAGGCCACAATTCTTGTTTTAACTGGATTTTATTATGTTTAATCTTTTATTTGTGTTGATTGTGTGAAAGCGTGAAAATGATCAAGGTATTTTGTTTCATTTTGAGCACAACTACATAACCAAATAGTCAATTCACCTTGTGAGTGTGTGAATTTTTGCTAACCCCTTTTGAGCCTTTTTGTCAGTGTCCATGTTGTTTTTGAATTTGATGGCTTGTTTATGAGTGTTTAATTTTCCTTTTTGAATGAATGTTGATTATTTGTTTTCTTGAACCCCCAACCATGATTTATGGTTTAAATTTTTTCCTTGCCTTAAAAAGTATGGAGTATTCACTTTAATGTTGGTTGAATTCAAGTTGGGGAGAAAATTGTTTGTTTTCTCTTGTGTGTATTACTATGAGGTTGCGAAAAAGAAAAGAAAAAAATGTGAAAAAGAAATAAAAGAAAAATAAAGAAAAAAGATAAAAAAGTTGAAAAAGAAAAACAAAAAGAGTATGTAATAATATTGTGTTAATAAGTATTGTGATTTGTGTGAAAAATTGGGGATGAAAGAGAAGTTTGATTGAAATTTTGTGTTTGAACTTTTGTGAATTGATCACTCTCTTAGGTTTCGGCAAATTTTTGTTTCAATTAGCTTTAGGACTTATCCCTTGTTTGTTAACCAAACCACATTACAACCCTTAAAGCCCTTGTGATTCTTGCTTTTGTGTTTTCAATATGAGTTTTTGGATGAATGCGTAATTTAATCTATTGTTTGCGAGATTGTTGGATGAGTGTCAAAATTCCTCACCTTTGTATGTTCTTCATCTACTGATGAATTTTTACTAGGCGTGATTCATGATTGAGCTTGTTTTATTTTAGAATGTTTAGTATGATTTTTGTATTTAGGATTTATTTTATTTACGTGTTGTCATTGTAGGATAGTGGTAAGTATACTTTGCTTGTACGTTTTTTATTCGAACCATACATTTGTTTATGTTTTCAAAACTTGTTGATTCATGATTTTTGATAATTACTTTTGTTTCTTTGAGTTCTTTGACTTTGTTTGAGGACAAACAATATT